GGAAAGAGCATGAAAAGAAGCAAATATTTGAAGGTGCAATGGCTTGAAAGTTCTAATTTAGGTTTCCAATTTTTTTGTTTTTGTTTTTGTTAGCTAGAATTTTTGCCAAAACAGTTGGTGAATTGTTGTAAAACCTGATTGAATATGAAATTACAGCACACCGAAGAAAACATATTGCAGAATATTGTGTGAATGACATAACCTGCAGTTACTGTTTGTATCGTGTATGATCTAGGAGATGGTCCAGATTGTATCTATTAGATGCTACTAAGATCTGTTTCTATTGTTTAGCAATGGTTCTACTGCCCGTTAGATGAAAAATTTAGTTCCCAGGACTATAATCTGCACAAAGTCTGCAGTTAATGGACTTTGGGAATCATGTATTGCCCAATTATGGGATTTGGTTGTGGTGAAAGTGTGGGTGGCTTGATGCTCCTTAGTTTTCTCGAGGTGGGTGCTCATGCTGTCCAATGTACAAATTATTTTGGTTAGCAGAGTTCTTGAAGCCTTTTAAGTTCGCTAAAGTCAAAATCACTTCTAAATCACTTCTAAGTTATTTTCTTTTAAACCTTTTGTTTAAAAGTTATTTTTCTGTGTTCTTTTTTCATGATCAGACTCTGTTTGTTTCTGTTTAGTTTTTTATTTTTCGGCTCTGAGGATACTTTGTCCTCCGCATCTGTAATTTATTTTCACATCAATAAAGGTTTTTCTTATAAAAAAGGGTCATAATTACTTCTGGTGTTTGGTGGAAGTGCAATGCATATCTGACAGTTGGATTTTTCTTGAGTTTTTATCTGTTATCATATACTGAGCTGGCCATCAACCATTAGAAGGATGTGCATGTCTTTCCTGATTCCTATCTTTGGCCTTTTCTTTTCCAGGTTGAAGAATGACTTATCTTTGTAACAAATGTTTCATAAATTCTTTTAGGAAATTCTCTTACTATGATAGGGTGAGCATATCAATTTACATGCCAAATATTTGGAAAACCATAAGTAGGTGGATCAAAAAAGAAAACACAAGTGCACTGATGGAACGCCAAGCAAAAACAGACATACTTTTGGAGCTTTATTCATAGATATTAGATCTTGAACTGTATTTGCAAGATCATTTTGAGTGGCACGGAACTCTTATCAAATTAAAGGGTGAAACTCTAAACGAACCACCACATTATAAAGGGTGCAGAATACAAATTCTGCAGCTGCTTGGGAGGTGCGTGGTTAGAACTGGCAATTAGTGGCATTTAGGCGGTTAATGTTATTGGTAGTTCTTTACCACTAAAATACATAGCTTATTGCTTGGGTTTTAGAAGCAAGTCAATTTCATATATTATATTTTGTCTCTTGCATTTTTTCTCCCATCTAATTAGAATTTGTTCTTGAAGTTCTTCGTATTTGTAGCTTAAGTCAGATATTTAACTCTGTTCAGGATAAGCTCCCTAATGGTAGAAAAACCTAATTGGTTCTAGCAAAACTAAGATGGTAGAGGTGATGTGGAAGTGTGCGGTGTTGGTTACTTTTTGGGTTATTTGGAAGAGTGTTTTGAGTCACTTTATTTCTAGTTCTATTGGTTCATTTTGTATTCTTTTTGACGACCGCTTGTCCTCAAAGTGTTATTCGATGTAATTTTTCTAATTTCAACAAACTTTTTGTTATTGCAAAAAAGAGTTTTTAGCTCAATTTGATGTTGAACTTTTAAGTAGGTGACAACTTGGTCCCTAAACTTTAAAATGGTTGTAAAAGCTCCGAAGTTGCGAACGGTGCACGTGCCTCACATGATAAGTGAGAACCACTATTGGCTGAATTTTACTAAAATAATGTTGAAAAAAAACCTTTGCAAAACCTTAAGAGAGAGAGAGAGAGTTCTTCTTTGCAAACTAGATCTCCTTGACGTGGACGGGGATGGTGCGTAGGGCATGGAGGTGAAGTCGTCGATGCTTTGCAGAGAGTGTGTTGGAGCCCAGGTGTTATCTCGTCTCCCATCCTGCGAGCCCAAGTGACCTCTCCACTCATCACCATCACCAGCCTGTTCGGCCCCCTCCCTCGTTAAGCCTCCAAAGCACTTTGTCGCATGTTCAGGGATGCAACTTTTATTTGTTTGTTTTTGAGATATTTTTATTTTTATTTTTTATTTTAACCATATATATTATTATGTTTACTAAATACCTTTGATATCACATCCATGTGTCATGCACATGATCTCTTATGTTCTCAATTTGAGTCCTTTTGCAATCAATTAAGAGTGTGGGGAGCTTTTTGCCATAAGAAAAAAATGGTAAAAATGTACAGGGACCAAGTTATCATCTACGGACCAAGTTATCATCTACTTAATAGTTCAGGGGCCAAATGAGCTAAGAACCTTGAAAAAAAATGGTTGTTAGAGGTAATACATTTGAATGGTTTTAGTTGTCGGTAACAAGGCAGAGCCCAGCTTCTTGAGTATTTGTCACTGATCTCATGTTTTTAGGAATTCTTAGAAGTAGAAACCAATAAGAAGCTGTGTGTTTGACCTTATCTTAAAAAGCATCATCATACTAAGAGCTGAGTAGTGTGAGATTCTCCCATTACATTTGAACCATAGAGCCGCGGAAAGTGAGATAACTATTGTTGTTATTTCTGAAAACCCCATCAAGTCTCAAATTAGAATCTGAAAATTTGTAGCAATTATCAATTCCTAGCTCTCCAAATTAATTTTATTCCACGTTGGTTTTGATTTGGAAGATTGTTATGAAGATTAATGTGGTGGAGGTTATAAATTGGAAATAAAATTTATCTCTTGGAATTAAATTAGCATTTCATTTATGTCTTATTCTTTCCAAATTCCAATTTGCTTCAGGAGCAACTCCAAAAGGAGTTCTTAGAGTGATGGGTGTACCTGGACTAACCATTTATCACGTGAAAAGCCATTTACAGGTGCGGTAAATCCATATGTTGTGCTATTTTCACAGAGACGTAAATCTATATTATGACATTTCTTCAATTTTTTGTGCAGAAGTATCGCCTTGCAAAGTACCTGCCAGAATCTCCAGCTGATGGTAAAGGTGGTTCTATCCCCTTTTATATGAATTATGAATTATATATTGCTAATGGCTTTTTTCTCGCTGAAATTGATCTTGAACAATCATGTTGAGTTTAGGTTCTAAAGATGAGAAGAAAGGGTCTGGAGACAGTCTTTCCGGGTCGGATTCTTCACCGTGAGTGTCCTTCTGGTTCTGCTGTTACAGTTACATTTGTTTGCATGTCTTTTTTGCCCCCTGATCATGTATATATGCCTAGCAGTATTATAGCTCTGTACATGTTCATCCCCCTCTCATGATCTCCTGGCTTTGCTTTTAACAATCTAAATACTTTATATCCTCAGGGGGGTGCAAATTAATGAGGCATTCAAGATGCAAATGGAAGTCCAGAAGCGTCTTCATGAACAGCTTGAGGTTTGGTTTCTTCCTCCTCACATTTTGCCTTTGATTGCTGGAAGGAGAGTATATTGGGACTCATTGCTTTCATGATGAGAAAGTCGTTCAAAATAAAGTTGCTTTGTGAATTTTTCATCCATATCAGAAGAAACTCTAATTTTGTAGCGTTTTTAAAAATGGTTTGTTTTATTATGGAAACAAAAATAGGAATTTCTCAGCAATGATGTTGGAATTGTTTTTGAAATGGCATTTGGTTGTCTTTTGAAGATTGTTTTGAGAATAGAAAAAAGCTATATTTGTGTTTGGTTTTTCTTTTTGTTTTTTGTTTTTCTTTGCTGGAAATATTTGTGCTTGGTTATGTTCTTGAAAACATATATCAAGTAATGAAAGCCCTAAACTGAAAATGGAAAAGGGAAAACAGATTTCAATAGTTTTCCAATTCCATTCGTACAATTGCTCCCTTTTCAGTTACTTATTTCCCTTCCTGGAACGAGACTGCAAACAAAAGGCTGTTTTCAGACCGTTTCCAAAGTCACTTTATCGAGAAACGTAAAAACCAATCTAAAAAACAATTGAAAATTAATTAATCAAGCATCCAATGTAATGCTATAATCCGATAATGTGAATGGTTTTTCTGGAATCTTCGTAAAGGTCGTATGCCTTTTAATCGAATCCGAAGAACTTCAAGATTCTAGGACCATTAATGTTTGTTTTGTCATAGCCGAGTATGGAATAATTGAGGGGAAAAGTCATTAGGTGACTTTGAATGATTTCTTTGGGATAGGTGATTAGGCAGTTTCTCCCTTTTTTTAATTTGTTTCCTTATTTATCTTGTTTCCTTTTATTTGTTGTTCCCTGGCTTATCTATATAAGGAGGCCAGTGTACATGCCTAGGATCATGAATGATAGAACAATAGTTTCATTCTTCTAGCAGTGTTTTCTCCTCTAGTTACAATCTCCTCGGGTTCTTGCTATATGGTATCAAAGCGGGAGGTCCTAACTTCAAACTCCCGTAATTGCACTCTTTATCCCCATTTAAATTGTCATCATGTGTTGGGTCTTTAATATATCTCGGGCTTAAATATTCACGTGTTGGGCTTTGCAATTAATTTACTCACATGATTGTCCATTGTCCAGCCCACACGTGAGGGGGAGTGTTAAAGTATAAAACTATTGTTGCCCCACCTCCTAAAAGCTTAAGCTTTTGGGATGGATTGATAAACTAACATGGTATCAGAGCCAAATTAAATCTGGACGTTCTTGAACTCCGAGTTGTAGCTGGCAGCGTATAAGAGGGCTTTGACTGGAGCAAGCGGAGGCGATGTCCCTAAGGAAAGTTCCAACATCTCTCGGACTACCTCCACAATTGCTCCCACTGCTATTTCTCAACCCACTTCCATGAACCCCGAAATTTCTAACCATATCTCTCTACAAATTACCACCCACAAATTAAATGGAAAGAATTTTCTTAAGTGGTCTCGTTCAGTGTTGATGATTTTACAGGGAAGAGGAAGATTGGGCTATTTGTATGGTTCAATTCTGCAGCCCAAAATTGAAGACCCTTCTTATGCGAATTGGGAAGCTCAAAACTCCATGGTGATGGCGTGGTTGATTCACTCGATGGAAGACAACATTGCAGATACCTACACACTGTTTCCCACGGCAAAAAAAATCTGGGATGCTGTAAACTTGGCCTATTCTGATTTAGAGAATGCCTCACAGATGTTCGAATTGAGAAACAAGGTGAGAAATCTGAAACAAGGGGAGAGTGATGTTACACAGTATTATCATGAGTTGACAAGACTTTGGCAAGAATTGGATCTCTTCTCATCTCCATCTTGGAAAGACCCCGAAGATGCAGTCTTGTATAGAAGGATGATAGATCAGGACTGGATATATGATTTCCTTGCAGGACTTAATAAAGACTTGGATGAAGTCCGTGGCCGATTGCTAGGAATGAGACCTCTGCCCCAAATTGAAGAAATTTTCGCTGAGGTGCGTACAGAAGAAACAAGAAAGAAGGTCATGCTTGGAGGAAATATGCAGAATTTAGAGAACTCTGCACTTGTTGTTCATGAACGTGGACAGGAGAATCCAGGGGGAAGGAAAAAATAACAAGAAGTGGTACGAACATTGCAAGAAACCTTATCATACCAAGGAGACTTGCTGGAAACTACATGGTAAACCGACCAACTGGACACCTCGGAACCGTGGACATGAAGGAAAGGGATTTCAGGCAGTAGCCGACAAAATTGATGAAGAATTAATCACTCCAGCCACTGCAGCATCGGTTTTCTCCAAGGAACAGTTGGAACAATTAAGGCAGATGATGACACAATCATCTTCCCACTCATCATCTCTCTTGGCTCAGAGAGGTAAAGCATTAACTGTTTTTTGTGGCTTGGCAGAAAAAGAAGAACTATGGATTATTGACTCAGGAGCAACAGACCACATGACTGGTTGTGGTAAACTTTACACCACATATACTCCCAACGCTGGAAACCGCAAAGTGCAGATTGCCGATGGGACCTCCTTTGTGGTGGCCGGTACTAGGACTATAAAAATTGGACCTAGTGTCACATTAAAAGGGGTTCTCCATGTGCCGAATCTAAGTTTTAATCTTTTGTCCATAAGTAAGATAACCAAAGATTTAGATTGTGAAGTAATTTTTCTGCCGTCTGTTTGTACCTTTCAGGACCGATTATCAGGGAAGAAGATTGGCAGTGTTGAGGAGCTGGATGGCCTATACTACTTTAAGGATGATTCTTCGTTAATGGGAAAGCTCAGATGGTTACAAGCAATTCTATCTCTAGAACTCAAAAAGTTATGTTATTGCATTATAGATTAGGACATCCTAGTTTCCCTTATTTGAAGTTTTTGTTTCCATCTTTGTTCAAGAATAATGAAAAAATTTAATGTGAAGTTTGTCAATTAGCAAAGCAGACTCGTGTTCATCTCTTTCCTTTACCATATCGTGCATCAAAACCATTCATTCTTATTCATAGTGATATTTGGGGACCTTCTCGTATTTCAAGTCTCACCAACAAAAAATGGTTCATAACCTTCATCGATGACCACACACGTGTCTGTTGGGTTTATCTCCTAAAAGAAAAATCCGAAGCCGAGAATGTTTTCAAAGAATTTCATGCAATGATTAAAACACAATTTGATGAGAATATTAAATTCTTGAGAACTGATAATGGAACCGAAATTTTCAATGCCATGTTAGGGGAATTTGTGAGAAATAATAGAATTATCCATCAAAGCTCATGTGTTGATACACCACAACAAAATGGAGTAGCCGAGAGAAAAAATCGTCATCTTTTAGAAGTTGCCCGGTCATTATTGTTTACAGCAAATCTTCCTAAGCGTTTTTGGGGTGACGCAGTTCTAACTGCAACATACATGGTAAATAGGGTACCCTCTCGAGTGCTCAAATTTCAAACACCGATAGAATGCCTATACAAATCCTACCCAAAGGCTCGTGTTCCATCTTCTCTAGAGTTAAAAGTGTTTGGTTGTGTTGCCTTTGTCTATGACCTTGATCCTAACCGAGGGCAATTAGACCCTAGAGCTCATAAATGTATTTTTTTGGGGTATTCTACAACTAAAAAGGGCTATAGGTGCTACTCCATAGAAAAGAGGAAGTACTTTGTGTCTAGGAATGTCACCTTCTTTGAAGATCAACCCGCGTTTACCAAAAATTTCCTTCAGCGGGAGAAAATATGGGAAGATAATTTTTGGGAGAAGTCAAAATATCCTGTAGTTCCAAACTCCGAATCTTTGGACCTTAAGTCTTGGGAAATTTTTTTGGGATTTTACTCCTCCAGAAATTACAAACCGTGAACCTAGGGATTCTAGTCTTAATGAAACATCCCCTGAAGTAGAGAATCATGGTAAAAAGTTTAAAAATATTCCTGGCTTAAATCAGACAGATCCACCTGTTATAGAGCCTGAAAATTTCCCGACCACTACCGTAGAAAATTCCACTAAAATTCCGGATAATGTTCAGTCAAATCTACTTGTACTCGAACACCTGGCTATGATCAACCACACACCATCACAGAACAGGTAGATAATCCTTCACAGCCTGACAATCCTACACAAGTTCAAAACCTTAGAGCACCAAAGTCTATAATGCAAGAAAATAAAAAAATTAAGGAGCGTGGTCTGCAACCATTTGAGAAAGCCAGAAGGTTACTCACCACCAAGAATCTAACTCAGAGTCTGGTCTTGAAGGGGAGTTGGAGGATTTAGGCATTCCTATTGCTTTGAGAAAGGGTACCAGATCCTGTACCAAACACCCTATAACCAATTATGTAGGGTATGATCATTTGTCAGGACCAATGAAAGCCTTGGTGTCTAATATGGCAAGTGTGGAAATACCGAGAGATATCTAGGAGGCAATGGAAAAAGCAGAATGGAGACAAGCTGCCTTGGAAGAAATGGGAGCTCTAAAGAAGAATGGCACGTGGCACATTGTGCAAAAACCTAGAGATAAGATTTCAGAAGTGGGTATTCACAGTCAAGTATAAGGCAAATGGTTCAATTGAAAGATATAAAGCTCGGTTGGTGGCTAAGGGCTACACACACACGTATGGAATAAATTATCCGGAGACCTTTGTACCTGTAGCCAAAATTAATATTGTTTGAGTTCTGTTGTCTCTAGCAGCAAATTTGGATTGGCCATTGCAACAACTTGATGTGAAAAACGCATTTCTTAATGGTGACCTGGAGGAAGAAGTTTATATTGAGCTTCCGCCCGGGTTCAACAAAGATGGAAGGTGTGATGAAGTGTGCAGGTTGAAGAAATCACTATATGGACTAAAGCAATCACCACAAGCTTGGTTTGACCGATTTACTAAGGTGATCAAAGGGCAGGGATACAAGCAAGCTGCAGGATATCACACACTATTCTATCAACATAAGGATGGTAAGATTACAATACTCATTGTGTATGTCGATGACATTATTTTGACTGGAAATGGTCTTGAAGAAGAACAAAGACTCAAGAGGAAGCTTGCAGAAGAGTTCGAGATTAAAGACCTTGGGAGCCTCAGGTATTTTCTTGGAATGGAGATTGCTAGAAACAGAAGTGACATTTCAGTCTCATAGAGGAAATATATACTAGATCTCTTGAAAGAAACCAGGATGTTGGGTTGCAAACCAGTAGAGACTCCTATAGAACCAAATAAAAAAAGGGAGGTTGTAAGGGATAATAGTCCTGTAGAGAAGGGCCGCTTTCAACGTCTCGTTGGGAGACTTACCTACTTGTCTCATACTAGACCTGATATAGCCTTTGCGGTGAGTAAAGTCAGTCAATACATGCATTCTCCTACGGAAGAACATTTAGAAGCTGTCTATAGGATTCTGAAGTATTTAAAAGGAACACCAGGACGGGGTTTATTCTTCAAGAAAGGAGAAGATAGAAACATAGAGGTCTATACTGACGCAGATTGGGTTGGCAATGTTGAGGACAAAAGGTCTACATCGGGGTATTGCACTCTTGTGTGGGGTAATCTTGTAACTTGGAGGAGTAAGAAACAAGTAGTTGTTGCTAGAAGTAGTGCAGAGGCGGAATTGAGATCAGTAGCTCACGGGATTTGTGAGGGTTTGTGGCTGAAAATGTTGTTAGATGAGCTGAAGGTTGGAGTTATGCTACTTCTACGTGTCTACTGTGACAATAAGACAGCCATAGATATCTCACATAATCCTGTTCATCATGACAAGACCAAGCATGTGGAAGTCGATCGGCATTTCATCAAAGAAAAGATAGAAGAAGGAACTATTTGCATGACATATGTTCCTACTACTGGACAAGTGGTTGATATTCTGACCAAGGGATTGGCTAAACCCTTGTTTGAAAAATTGATAGACAAGCTAGGTATGTACAATGTGTACTACCCAGCTTAAGGGGGAGTGTAGCCGAGTATGGAATAATTGAGGGGAAAAGTCATTAGTTGACTTTGAATGATTTCCCTAAAGTTTTGGGATAGGTGATTAGGCAGTTTCTCTCTTTTTTTAATTTGTTTTCTTATTTATCTTGTTTCCTTTTATTTGTTGTTCCCTGGCTTATCTACATAAGGAGGCCGGTGTACATGCCTAGGATCATGAATGATAGAACAATTGTTTCATTTTTCTAGCAGTGTTTTCTCCTCTAGTTATTATCTCCTCGGGTTCTTGCTATAGTTATCCACTTCTGGTTTTACGCATGCCCTTTTGTATTGTTTGTTCTTGTAAGGATCGCCAAGGTGAAGGTTATTCTTTTTTGTTTTGTTTTGTTTTTTTTAAGTTTTTTTTTTTTACCCAATCTCGTGAAGGTTATTTAGCATTCTTAACAGGCTGATCTTTGTACTGGTTAATGAGAACCTCTTGTGACCAAGTTAAATTTCGCATATGTCAGGTTCAAAGACAGCTGCAAATGAGAATAGAAGCTCAGGGAAAGTACTTGCAAAAGATCATTGAGGAGCAGCAGAAACTTGGTGGTGTTCTCAAGGCCTCAGAGTTGTTGCCATTGGCGGAGGATGATAAGACGGAGCCATCTCAGTCGGATACACCAGCTGATGCCTCTGCTGGTGAATCCTCTCCCCGAAAGAAACAAAAAACGGATGATGGATTGCCAGATGGTGGCACCTCCTCTGCCCCACTACCAAAAGCCGACCAGAAGAATGAGTTTGTTGGTCAATGGGATCGGGACTTGTACGGAAATGAAGCTGGATTTGGATTCGACTTGGAAACAGAGTCTAAGGAAAGAGAAGATGGCGGCAGAGTGCAGAAAGTGTCACTTGAACTAGGTCCATTATGTGATTCAAAATAGCAATAGCAGTGTCAGTAGTCTATGATGATGTTTGTAGCAACAGAGTGTAAACCATGCTGGGTATATCTCTATACATTTGATCGCCATTTATAGTTGTTACATATATATATATATATATGTATATATATATATATATATGTAGATTTGTATATAGTATATTCTCTAAGTGGTAATGTAGTCTCCAGGAACCTTAGCTCTAGCAGATCGATCATACATACGCGCTTATTAAGTTTTGACACCCATCATCTATTCATTTCTCGGTTGTTTGAATCCTTATAAAGAGAACTAGCTTCAAAACAAACATCTCCACGTGTAGCTGTATTGTTAGTGTTCTTTTGGAATTGGATTATACTCTAAAATAGTATTTTGCCGACTGATTCCTCATTGAGTTGATTACCTTTAAATAGGCCCCCACTACACTCAAACCCGCTTCCATATACTAATAATGAGTATTGATGATATACTGGTGCTGTAGCGCCGAAGCTTTTGAATTTTATTTTCTTTTGAATTATTCTCACTTTTGTTCCTCGAACTTTAAAGCAAGTGCCTCTCAAGGGACACATGAGATTAATGGAACAATCTAATTTAATCCATTTTAGTAGGATTTGTGTCAAAAACAAAGGAGAAAAAAGTAGTGTGACACATGGTCATTTTATTAGAATTTATATTAAAAACAAGCATAAAAGACCATGGATCAAGGTTTGTTTGGAAAAAAAAAAAAAAAATGGCTACAAAGTGCTGTTTCTAGGGTTTCTTCTTCTCTACTTAACCTCCCGTTTCTCTTGCGTAGCCTCTGCAACTTTCGAAGGGGCAGAGTTTGGCATCGCCCTTGGGTTGCGCTTCGGACTGCCGACCCCATGGGAGGGTGCTTGGATGGTGTGGCTTGGATTTCTCTGGTAAAGTTTCGACAGGGCCGTGGGTTGGGTAGGAGTTGCGGCTGTTGGGGGTGCTTTCTAGAGTGTGTTTGGGTGTTGTTTCTGTGTGTACTTGAGCGCCGACAACGTTGAACATCGTGTGGTTGGATTCCCCCAATATGTTGTTCTCTTTGTGGGGGGCTTGTGTGTCCTGTGGCTGCTTCTCTATTTGTGGTTTGGGGGAGCATGGGTGCTGCGGTGTCGCTCTGTTATGGGGGCTTTAGTTCTTATCGGGTGGCGTCTCTTTGGGTATGGTGCTTTCTCTTACCATTGGCTGTAAGCAGAGGTGCGTGGCCCTCTTGCATTGGAGGCTCGACCCTTTTCTTGTGTTCTTTTGGCTCACTTCATGACTGTATTTCTCGTGATCATCCTTGGTAGTTGTTGGCTCGTTATCGAGGCTCCAATCATTGTCATTTGGGCTTTGCCTGTTTATTTTTATTTTTTGTGTTTGTTAAATAAAGGCATTGATATTTTCCTTGTTTAGTTTTAGGTTGTTTTTGTTGCTTTGTTGGCTATCCGTTGTTGTAATAACAGAGGTGGTCTTCCCATCTTACTTTGTTGTCGTTAGGTCTAGTCTGCAAGTCTTTCTTTGCGGTCTTGTGGTTGGCTTATGTGCTTTTGGTCTCTCAATCTCGATCGATCGGAGTTATCCACTGACTATAGTGGTGTGTTAGAAAGAGCTATTTGTGTGCTCGAATAGTTGTGTGCCTCTTTGATTTCCTTGAGTTAGAACTCGGTACACGTGTTACCCCTTGAACGTTTCAGTCGATCTTACTAGTGGTTCCGGTCTTTATTGGGGTTTGAGTAGCTAAATGTACTGTGGTCTTTCGAGTTTGAATTAGTGCTTGTATTTCTCTTATTTGGAATGTAATTACTATTTTCAAAAAAGGCAACGTGGTCATACTTAATTCCGCTTTTTGTGTTTATTCTAACATAAATTTTAATATAGGGGATTAAGCGGGTTAGTTTAAAATTTAAGTATAAAATGAGAGTTTTTAGAGTTTAAGAATAAACCGATAATGACATTAAATTTAAAGAACACGTATGAGATTAACCCTTTTCGTTTCTTTCTTAAAACTGAAGACTCAATAATATAATCTGTCCAACTGAAGGCTCAAAATATGCTGGATGTGTTGGCCAGCCAAAGTATTGGAAAAAATTAAATTCACTGTTAATGTATCTTTCTTTCTTTCCTTCCTTCTTTCTTTTTTCTTTTTTTTTCCCTGAAGAGTGCTATTACGTCATGAGGATGCTAGGTATGACCTGCGGCAGTTATAATTAGTTATAATTAGATTATTACCTGCGCTATTTGTAAAGATTAATATTAAAAGTGTCGTATAGTTATAATTATATTAGATTAGACAGATTAATACCTTCTGGCGATGTAACTTTAGTTTAGTACCTTTAAGTTGCAGATTAAGTCTTTTTATATAATCATATCATTTACAGTAATTTAGTACAATAAGTTTCACTCTGTTAAACCGCGAAATCTAAAGAGAGCACAAGACAATAACTAATACTAATAAATTACAAGAAAAAGACATCCAACTAAAAAGAAAAGGGTTATTTATGAAAATAACCATGAAAAAGAAATTATCTTACAACTAACACTCTGTTTTATTTTTATTTCTGTTACTGTTACGACAAAAGATTTCCCACAAAATGGGTCTCATGGGCTAATGAATATTTAACATTACTAAAAAATTACCCATCTTGTACCCGTTTCTTTCACTGATGAGAGGGCCCCAAAATCCTAAGAGAAATTATGCCACTGTTTAGTTCCTTAGTTTAAATTTTTTATTTTGAACAGAAAAATTTAAATTGTATATTTTAAATTATAGTTTAAATTAATGTTTAAATCTGTAATTAAGAATAAAATTTATATTTATATTTAGTATGTGTGAAAAATAAAGAGTAAATCCTTTTTAAAATTTAAAAAGGAAGTTAAATTTTAAATTAGATTGTTTTTAAACGAAAATATAATTTAAATTACACACTTACTAAATAAGAGTTCAAACATGGTTTACTTACGTCTCATTTATTTTACTGATTTAAATTTAAAATTTAAAATTTATTATAGTAAAAAACTCTAAAAATAATCATATTTAATTTTTTTATTATATTAAAAAAATTTTACATAAAATTACATCTCAACTCAAATTAAATTAAATTTCAGAATCAACGAAATGATGTAAACGGTCCTTATTAACCTCAGAAAATCGCCATATACAGTTGAGAGAGGAGAGAAAGAGAGATTAGCCTTGAAATCCGTGATTTAAAGCAACATTCTCATCCCAAAAAATGGGTAAGTCATCTATGATGGAGAAAACAGAACGCCTGAGAATTTAGAGGATGTTTGGTAGAGGGATTCGTTCCCTGATTCGAATCATGATTCGTGGTTCGCTACAGTATTTTCTCTCACAAAAAATACACGTAAATTGAAAATTGTTCAAATCACATGGTTTGAATCCTCCAACCAAACGTCCTCTAAGAGATCAGAGAGATGACAGAAAACACCGAAGAAGAAAACGCTGGAAAAAGAACAAGGGAACGTTGTTAAAGAACAGGGGAGAAAGGGAAAGGAAAAGGGGAAGGAAAAGGTTAAAAAGAGAAATGAAAAGGCCCCAGTAATGGAAGATGAAGATGTTGAAGAGGTAAACCTAAAACATGTTTGTAACAGGTTTTATATGATATTTCTCATTTGTTTTTTGTTTTTTTTTGTTGGATATGTTGACGGTGAGGTTGTTTGGTTGTTATGTTTCCAACTTGGTTTTTAAGAAACTTATGTTGATTGTGTTGCATGTCATCTTATTGGCTAGTACTGAAGACTTAAAATTACAACAAAATATGTGTTTTTGCGAATGAAATTTTGCTTTGACGATGATGTTGTTTGGTTAAATTGTTTTCAAATGGGTATTTAAGAAACTTATGTTGATGGTATTGCATGTCGTCTAATTGGTAGTTCCTAGGACTTAAAATTACAACAAAATATCTGTGTATTTGTGAATGAAATTCTGCTGTTTGGGTTATGGTCAAATGAACTTCTCTACTGATTAGTACTGTTTTCTGTGTTATGATCATTTTTTATTGACCCTTGCTCATCATTAAAATTATTGATTATTGTTTTTGGCTTTGTTTCAAAATTTCGAGGGGGTTTGTGCTCATTTGTATACACGTGCATCTGTTTATACAATAGTGGTTATTGTGTTATCTTTGTTTCAGATATTCAACTGAACTTGTAGTCTGATTTAGGAGTGTTTTTTTGGGTTATAGTCATTTTCATATTGACTCTTGGTCACCATTAAAATTACTAGTTATTGCTTTGGCTTTGCTTCAAAATTTTGAGTGTGCTTGCGTTCATTTGTATATAAGTGCATCTGTTTGGACAATAGTGGTTATTGTGTTATCTTTGTTTCAGACATTCAACTGAACATGTAGTTTGATTTAAGAGTGTTTTTTGGGTTATAGTCATTTTCATATTGACGCTTGGTCACCATTAAAATTACTAGTTATTGTTTTGGCTTTGTTTCAAACTTTCGAGTGTGCTTGTGCTCATTTGTATATAAGTGCATCTGTTTGGACAATAGTGGTTATTGTGTTATCTTTGTTTCAGACATTCAACTGAACTTGTAGTCTGATTTAGGAGTGTTTTTTGGGTTATAGTCATTTCCATATTGACCCTTGGTCACCATTAAAATTACTAGTTATTGTTTTGGCTTTGTTTCAAAATTTCAAGTGTGCTTGTGCTCATTTGTATATAAGTGCATCTGTTTGGACAATAGTGGTTATTGTGTTATCTTTGTTTCAGACATTCAACTGAACTTGTAGTCTGATTTAGGAGTGTTTTTTGAATTATAATCATTTCCATATTGACCCTTGGTCACCATTAAAATTACTAGTTATTGTTTTGGCTTTGTTTCAAAATTTCGAGTGTGCTTGTGCTCATTTGTATATACGTGCATCTGTTTGGACGATAGTGGTTATTGTGTTATCTTTGTTTCAGACATTCAACTGAACTTATAGTCTGATTTCGTAGTGTTTTTTGGGTTATAGTCATTTTCATATTGAGCCTTGGTCACCATTAAAATTACTAGTTATTGTTTCGGCTGTGTTTCAAAATTTCGAGTGTGCTTGTGCTCATTTGTATATACATGCATCTTTTTGGATAAACTAGTGATTATTGTTTTATCTCTGTTTAGAAATTTCAAGTGTACTTGTGTTTATTTGTATGTACGTTTATTTTTTTGGATAATAGTAATTTCTTTTTTTTTTTTTACTTATGGTCAACATGATAATTACTTGTCCATTGATAGGTTGAATTTATACGGAGAGTTCTTGACAATGAAATAAGCAATGGAAAGATCAACCTCTTTTGCAAACTGGAGAAGACGATTGAGAAACAAAAGAAACATTTAATAAAAAGCCAGTTTAGCCTCCTGCAAAAGCAGCCTTTG